TGTGGGATGACATCAAGAACATCATCCATGAAGAAAGCAAAAGGTCATTAAAAAGACAGGAAAGTAAGAAAAGACCAAAATGGATGTCAGAAGAGTCCCTGAAACTTGCCCCTGAACAGAGACTAGCTAAAGCAAATGGAAGAAATGACAAGATAAAAGAGCTGAACAGGTTTCAAAGAGCCGCTTGAGGACACAAAGTCAGTTACTATAATTAAATGTGCAAAGACCTGGGTTAAAAAACCAAAAGGGAAGACCACACTTGGCATTCCTCAAGCTGAAAGAAGTGAAGAAAAAAAATTCAAGCAATACTGAGAGATTGTATGGGCAAAATACTGAATGATGCAGGAAATATCAAAAGAAGATGGAAGGAATACACAGAGTCAGTGTATCAAAAAGAATTGGTCAATGTTTATCCATTTCAGGAGGTGGCATATGATCAAGAACCAATGGTACTGAAGGAAGAAGTCAAAGCTGCACTGATAGAATTGGTGAAAAACAAGCCTCCAGGAATTGATGGAATACCCATTGAGATATTTCAACAAATGGATGCCAGGCTGGTGGCACTCACGCATCTATGCCAAGAAATTTGGAAGACAGCTACCTGGCCACCTGACTGGAAAAGATCCATATTTGTACCCATTCCAAAGAAAGGTGATCCCACAGAATGTGGAAATAGTGCCTAAGGCAATTGACTGTTAACCTAAAGGCTTGCAGTTCAAACCCACCAGCTACTCCTTGGAAGAAAGATTGGACTGATAATCTCCTTCCAAAGTGACCTTGGAAACCCAAGGAAGGGTCGCTATGAGTTGGATCTGACCTGATGGCAGTAAGTTTGGTTTTTGATTTGGTATTAATATCACATGCAAGTAAAATTCTGCTGAAGGTAGTTAAAAACCAGTTGTAGCAGTATAATGGTTGCAGCAGTATATTGACAGAGAACTTCCAGAAATGTAAGTTGGATTCAGAAGAGGACATGGAACTAGGGATATCATAGCTGATGTCAGATGGGTCTTGGCTGAAAGCAAAGAATACCAGAAAGATGTTTACTTGTGTTTTATTGACTATGCAAAAGCATTCGATTGTGTGGATCGCAACAAATTATGGATAACATTGAGAAGAATGGGAATCCCAGAACACTTAATTACACTCATGAGGAACCTGTACATAGACCAGGAGGCTGTCGTTAGAACAGAACAAGGGGATACTGCATAGTTTAAAATCACGAAGGGATTGTGTCAGGGTGGTATCATCATACTTACTTAATCTGTATGCTGAGCAAATAATCTGAGAAGCCAGATTATATGAAGAAGAGTGTGGCATCAGTACTGGAGGAAGACTCATTAAGAGATGACACAACTATGCTTGCTGAAAATGAAGATGATTTGAAACACGCACTGATGGAAGATTAAAAACTGCAGTCTGCAGTATGGATTACGCCTCAGCATAAAACAAAAATCCTCACAACTGGACCAATAATCAGCATCACGATAAATTGAGAAAAAATTGAACTTGTCAAAAGATTTCATGTTACTTGATTCTCCATTCAAGACCAGTGGAAGGTACAGCCAAGAAATCAGATAACGTATTACACTGGGAAACCTGCTGCTAAAAGACCTCTTTCAAGTGCTGAAGAGCAAAGATGTCTCTTTGAAGACTAAGGTACACCTAACCCAAGCCATGGTATTTTCACTCACCTCGTATGTGTGTGAAAGCTGGACAATGAATAAGGAAGACTGAAGAAGAGCCGATGCTTATGCGAAATGGTGTTGGCAAAGAATACTGAAAATACCACAGACTGCCAGGAGAATTAATACCTCTCCTTGGAAGTGAGAATGGCCAGGCTTCCTCTCACCTACTTTGGTCATTTTGTCAGAAGGACTCATTCCCTGGAGAAGGATATCATGCTTGGTAAAGTGAAGGGTCAGAGAAAAAGGGGAAGGCCCTCAATGAGATGGGCTGACACAGTGGCTGCACCAATGGATTCAGGTATAGCAAGGATTGTGAGGCTGGCACGGGACTGGGCAGTGTTTTGTTCCATTGTACATAGAGTCACCATTGGAGCCAAGTTGGTGGCACCTAACAACAACAGCAAGCTTTACTCTCAACACTGCTATGATATTATTTACAACACCAGAATTAATATTCTGTAGTGTGCCTTGTCATTTTTATTTAAAAATACTCACTACGTCAGTCTCTGTTTTCACCAAACACAATGAAAACTTCAGAAGCATTGGGACATCCTTTCCATTTACTGTCTCTCAAGCTGAGTAGGTTCTGATTGAACTGGTGTTATTTGTTCTGTACCCAGAGGCTAAACGGTCCAGACCCTGAGAGCAAGTGAATTTCAAAATCTTAAAAGTAAAGAATAAATTATAGGGTCATCTGGCCCAAGTAGTATTTTATAACTAACTACCTTTTTCTTGTTAAGCAGCAGAAATAATATGGTTTCTGTCTGAATGAGTGTTGCATTTTCCAAAATTATTGGCTCTTCTCAACACATGGTGTTTTAGTAAACAATTCCATATGAGGGAATTATAATAATTATACTCCTCTGAAAGACTATTTCTAATAAATTGGCTATATGGAGGAATGCACTGTTTAGTTAGCAACTCAGAATTTTGTAGATTACATGAAGAGCAGAGCTGTGCTGAAGCTGTATTACCTGGCTGTCTGAAAGCATTTAACTTCCACATGTTAATATAAAAGTTTGAAGTTAATGTGAAATCAATTTGACACAACACTGAGTAAGCTGTAATGTTTCATAAAGAAAATGTCAGTCACCAGATAAATGTTACTTACCAAAGGAACTGAGAGCAAAATGGTCAGAAGAAGATTATCCTTGCCTCAAGCAAGTTTTTGAAGCCTAGGCATTACGAGGCCTGGTGGCACTGTGGTTAAAGCACTTACTGCTAACCAAAAGATTGGTGGCTGGAACCCACCAGTTGTTCCGTGGGAGAAAGCTGTGTCAGTCAGCTTCCAAAAAGATTTAAAGCTTGAGAAATTCCATAGGGTTGCTGTGTGTCAGAATCAACTCAAGGGCAGTGGGTTTGTTTTTTTTTTTTTGCTTTTAGGCATTATTTAGCTTCTTAAAATGGGAACCTGATTTTAATGTGTTCTGAAAACAAAGTATATAACTCATGAAATAAAAGACACTAAACCAAAATTTTGAAATTATGAAAAATTTAGGCCAAAGAGATAAAATAAAAACAGCTGTTGGGAATGAAAAATGGCTGTAGGAATTTAGTTACAAGTACTTCACAAAAACATCTTCATCACATTTACATAATGCAGCATTACAATACAAAGCTGGCAGCTGTAGTGACCAAGCAAGTTTTCTTATCTAACAAAAATAATTTAAGATACATTTCTTTGCATGGAATTGTCATATGTTTCCATTTTTGGTACAAAACATACATAGAAAAAAACATTGGCACATTATGTGGTGACAAATCATTTTTTTTTTCTTCCCAGGTACCAGTTCCAAGTGTTCTGCATTCCAATTTTCATTTGAAAAAGAAAAAAAAAAAACAACTTTTGACTCAATTACTTTACTGCCTTTTTATACCTCTGAAAAATGCAGCATGGAGTACTTGAATTTGAAACAAACTAAGATATTTTGTTCACTGAATTTCTAGAATGTATAATACACAGAGAGGGGCTGACTGGTAAAAGAAAGGAAAATCTCAAGGCTAACTTCATGTTGCTCACAGAAAGTTGTGAAAAAAGCTGTATAAAAATAAGCACTTGTGCTTTCAAAGCTTTTAGCATACAATAGCTTAAAATAGTATTTACTGCCTCCCTATATGCCTGTTTTCTGATATATTTACATATCTTGCAATTTTTTTTTACATCATTTAAGCAAAACAGCATCATCTCAAATATAGATAGGTTAAAAACATCTGAACCATGAAACTTCCCCTCTCCCCTCCCCAAATATATACGTATAGATGGTACATGGCACAACATACTCCATGGACTTAACCCAGAAAATTTAGATTGTTTTAATAAAAATTTTAAACAGCAAATGTATATAAATTTTTTCTTTTTTTAAAAAAGCTTGTCCAAGGGCATTCGGAATAATGGCTTTTATATAATACTTACTACAGTGCCTTGTGTGTACCTCTAAGCCAGAAATAAGGGAAGCTCATGGATTCCCTCCAAAACAAAATGTCATTCCATCCCCCATCATGGCTGGCTTCTGCTCAGATGAATTGGTTTTACAAGAAAAGAGAGCTGCACTGGCTACTGATGCCAGTCTAGAGAGCACTCACCTGGCCGAGGCTGTGTTCTGACTTGAATGTCACCCCAGTGACCAGAGAACCATCTAGCCATGGAGGCTATGATGATAACTAGTTTACTAATAATTTGGCCTTATTTTGTTCATTTTGTGTAGTTATTTTTTTCTTAAGATACATTTGTTCAGATGGACTTCTTATGAATCCTTCAGACTGAAGCTCTTGAGGAAAAAGTTAAACATAATGGTGACTCTCATGGTAAGAAGTGAGCTGAACACTAGCTATCTTACTTGGTCATCATCCAGGGGGATGGGCTCATATGCATCGAATCTCTTTTTGTGTCCTACCAATTATGACGAATCGGCTTCAGAGTTTGACAAGGGCACACAGGATGACAGCAGAGTAAAGGAGTGTACCAAATATTGGCTCTGCTAAGTGGGGACTCAAAAAACATTCTTCTCCATGGAACATGACGCTCTAAAAATGAGATTGGGGGACTTGAATGATTCAAGATCAAATATTAAGTGTTAGCTCCTTAACCTATGTCTGTCATTTTTCATTATAAAGCCTCTTGCTTTCACTACTGTGATTCACAGTGCCTTTTGTAGATCAAGAGGTCTTGTTCTCTGGTTTGGCTTAGTTATCAGATGGAAGCCTTAGACTTTTGCACTTTAGGTCATCCAGTGTCTTCCAGTGTTTGTAGTTATTGGCCAAATGTTGCATCAGGGCTGGCAGATGTGCAAAAGCTGCAGGGATGTAAAAGAATCAAAAGAAGCCTATTAAGTTATTAGACCATAGGAGCATTCATCAATAAGGCTGGGGCTCTCAGGGACAAGTTTGGGATCAGCATTAAAGGAGAGGTCTTCTGGGTTAAACCTAAAGCTGCAGGTGAACCCATCAGTATGAAAAAGATGTCATTAAATACCACAGGCAGTCCCCAGATTATGAAGGAGTTAGTAAGTCTGTCATCAAGTTGCATTTATACATAAATTGGAATACTTAGGTACAATTCTTATCTAACATCAGTTAGTCAAATGTTTGCCATAGTATGTAATAATTATATATGTATAAAGGCACTACCTTTATAAAAATGAAAAACATTAAAGAAACACTTATAGATACACTAAAATATCTTTAACATCATAATACAGCAATAATAATGTTTTGATATGTGTTGCAAAATAGCCTCCGTTTCTTATTATGAACCATTGTTTGTACCCTGAACATTTTATATAATAGGCTTTACAGGGGTTAGTTCCTAACTACAGGTTGTATGTAAGCCAGATATTTATTATCCAGGGACTGCCTCTAGTTTCTGAAATGCAAACAGATCTTTTCAATTAAAACTTGAAAAATCAAGTTTATTAGTGACATTATCACAAGAACCTGTGACTTGAGTAGACTCAATACATTCAGCTGTCTTTCTAGAGGTTCCCCCTCTAATGACAGAATAAAACTGCTGTAAGCTTTGGAGTTATATACTTTGAAGAGACCAAGGCTTATTTAGGAGCTCTGGTAGCATAGTGCCTAAGGCATTTGACTGCTAACCAGAAGGCTGGTGGTTCAAACCCACCAGCCACTCCTCAGAAGGACGGTTGGGCAATCCACTTCCATAGTGATACCACCTCAGAAGCCCAAGGAGGGGTCGCTGTGAGTCAAGTCCGACTTGACAGCACATAACAACAACAACAAGGCTTGTTTAACCAGTTAGCAAACATCGAATGAGTCTTTCATTCACAAAGCACTGTGCTAGGGTATGCAAAATAATGCGCACGAACCCTGCCCTGGCTACAAACAGTTGATTTAACTTATTTTTATAACATTTATCTATAGGTCCATCTTATGTCATTAAAAGTTACCATAACAAAGTATAATAAAATATTCTTTGTGGGTAACAAAACATGAACTATCTTACCGTCCCAAGCATCAAACATGTCTGTTATGAAGTAATCAATGAAAGAAATCTGGGACTTGGGGATGCTACAGGTGTTCCGGTCAAACACTGGCATCACCACAGGTAGCCCCTGTCTCTTCTCTTCATCCGTCTGTAAGAAATAACATCACATAAGGCTCTAGGGCATTTGAGATGCTTTCACATTAACATCTTGTTCCTTAGAACAATCCTGGGATGGTGGGTCATTATCCAACTTTATATATGAAGAAATGGGCTGAGAAAGGTTCTGAGACTTTAAGTAAATCAGCACCTGCTGAGCTTCAGAGTGACTAAATTCAGGTCTTCTGACTTTTTAAGTCTCTTTGTAGGCTACTTTGGGAGCTCTGGTAGAGTAGTGCCTAAGGCATTTGACTGCTAACCAGAAGGCTGGAGTTCAAACCCACCACCCACTCCTCAGAAGGAAAGTTGAGCAATCTACTTCTGTAGCGATATGCCTCAGAAACCCAAGGAGGGATCGCTATGTGTCAGATATGATTCGACAGCACTTAACAATAAACAGCAACATAGACTACTTTACAGCCCCCATGAAGCTGTGATCTCAGCTCATTCTCATTTGGTAACTCAGGAGGGTGGAAGTGGGGACCAGCCAGAGAGAGGCCTCACTGGGGTCTCATAGACTGTTTTAGCAGTGTTTACACTCATGTAAGCAATAGACTAAGCATTTACTCTGGGCAAAAACCAGATTATAGCAGGTTAAGGAATCAATGATAAGTGAAGGAGGAGAGGTGGAATAGACTAGACACTTAGCTTGGTGAAAAGAGAAGGTGAGAAAAGCCATGTGCCCATTTTATAGTGTTGGTTCCTTTCCTTTAATGGGAGAAATCTAACAAGTTTCTAGATAAACTGAGGGGGAGGCATATTCAAAGAATCATTTGTAGTCCTGCTTCCATATCATATCATTAGTTTGTTTTTCCCCACTAGAATTTAGGTTACATTGGAGCAAGAAGTATGTCTTTAGTTGTGCTCAGAAAAGAATTAAGTGATTTTCTGTTCAGAGAAGAATATGGCCTACCTCCCTAAATCTAATGTTAAGTAAAATTTTCAGGGAATTCTGTTTAATTCGAATCCATCTTGTAGTATATGTTCATTTCTCTTGTTCTATCATCAAGATGTGCAGTTGGTAACCATCTTTTACTAATTTATGCTATCTGTACCACTTCTACTCCTCTTAGCATAGATCCATCAACATACAGTTAATATCTAACTCCCATTTCCACCTTCACACTAATAAGGACTGGCACTATACAGAACTTTAAGTAGCTCCTTTCCAATGACCATTACACTTCAACAGCCCACTCCCATGGCCACACTTTGGGGCCTAGTCAATTATTATTATTCCACATCTAAAAGCACAGATTCCAGTGTCCTGGACTCTTGAACAGACTGTCCTGTTTTTCCACCTTGCTTATGTTGTTGTTATATGCCGTCGAGTCGGCCCCGACTCATAGCGACCCCTCCTTGCGTTTCCGAGGCAGTATCACTACAGAAGTAGATTGCCCAACCTTCCTTCTGAGGAGTGACTGGTGGGTATGAACCACCAGCCTTCTGGTTAGCAGTCAAATGCCTTAGGCACTACGCTACCAGAGCTCCTACCTTGCTTATATTTGTATTATATTTGTTCTCTGTCCTCACTGATCATTTCAGTCTTTAAACCAAAAAAAAAAAAAAAACCATTGCCGCTGAGCCAATTCCAACTCATAGCAACCCTATAGGACAGAGTAGAACCGCTCCATAGCGTTTCCAACGCTGAAATCTTTACAGACACAGACTATCACTTCTTTCTCCTGCAGAGTACCAAGTGGGTTCAAACTGCTAACCTTTCACTTAGCAGCCAAGCACTTAACCAACTGCATCAACAGGGCCCCTTTTCAGTCCCTAGAGACCTTCATTTTCTTCTACTTTATCAGTCCTCTCCTAGCTCTTTCTTAAATTCATAAGCCTTACTATCTGGCCAGAACCCTCAACTCTTTTGCTTCCCTTGAGACATTCTTAAACCTCCAAGTGCATGTACACTTTCTCTATTCAGAGTGGACAGTGACCCAGGAAGCTGAGAGCTTCTGGAGGAAACCATGTACCATGTAAACTGGTTCCACTAATAATCATTTTCTAGTTTCCACTGGGCTCAGCACTACTTTTCAATCATTACACTGCCTTTTGTTACCTCCTTATTCTCAGTCCCTCCAAACTTTACACCTCTACTCTCCAGCCTCTGATTCATCCCTACTCCACTTACTCTCAGTAGAGATTCTTGATTCTTTCAGATAAAATTGGGGCCCAACAAGTGTGAATTCCTTTAACTTCTTGTTAAACTTCAGTGAGTTTGCCTCTTGTTCAAGACCAGTCTTTTCACCTGCTCCTCATTCTTCCTGTTGTCTCTAAGCTTTAACTCCAGTGTTACTGTTTTCACTTGTCAGCCCCTCCATCCCCTCGACCTATAAACCAACTCTTTATCTCTTATCATGAGAAAAAATGAAAGAGAAAGGAGGTGAGAGAAACAATCTTGACCCTCTCTAGCTGTCACCTTCTCTTCCTTTCACTAACACTTTGAAAATAGGCTCTATCTGCTTTGCCTTTCTCCATCCCATTTTCCCTTCATCCATTGCTGTATGATGGATGATCCTGTATTATTCCTAATGGAACTTCCACTAAATTTATATATAATCTTCCAATTTCCAAATCCAATGATCATTGTTTATTTTTCATCATATTACTCCAACTTGCAGCATGAGATTATTTATACTCCCTTCCCTTTTTTGAAACTCTGTTTCTTGACTTCCATTCAGCACATTATTCTAATCTCCTTTTTCCATATTCTAAATATGCTGCAGTTCCCCAGCATTTGGCTTTTAAATCTCTTATAACTGTCTTCTGTTTTTTTCCATGGATCATCACTTTTACTCCCATATTTATACTAAAAAAAAAAAAAGGTAAGTCCTATCACTCTATCTGAAACACGTTTCTTTCCAGATCCAGTTCTGGCACAGTGCCTATAAGAGCATCTCTACATGAATGTGTCATTGACATTGCAATTTAAGTAAGCCAGCAATTAAGGAGCTCTGGTGGCACAAGTGCCTAAGGCATTTGACTGCTAACCAGAAAGTTGGTGGTTCAAACCTGCCAGCCACTCCTCAGAAGGAAGGTGCAGTCTACTTCTGTAAAGATTGATTATTGTCTTGGAAACCCAATGGGGGTCACTATGAGTCAGAATTGACTCGATGGCAGTGGGTTTGGTTTGGATTTTGGGAAACCAACAATTGGGAATCATCCTTGACTCTAATATCTCCTTCATCAAGACCTGTTTTATACTCTAATTTCCAGAATCTGCCCTTTTCCCACTGCCTTTACAAATAAAGGCCTTTACTTTAGTCCAGGCTTTATTATTCCACACATTCTTGTAAATCTTTAATCTCTAATCTCTTCCCTTCCAATGCATTCCTTATGGGGCTGTCAGATTAAGTTATCTAAAGCACAGGAGTGTCCATGTTAGTCTCCTGCTTAAAAGTTTCAATGGAAAGAACAAAGCTCTTTTTATATCTTCCAATCCTTCTATGGCTACCTTGTGCCTATAATTATAGCTCTGTTTTACTATAATACAGCATGTTGTTATGTGCTGTCGAGTCAGACCTGACTCATAGTGACCCCTCCTTGGATTTCCAAGGTGGTATCACTACAGAGTAGATTGCCCAACCTTCCTTCCAAGGATGGTGGGTTTGAACCGCTAGCCTTCTGGTTAGGAGTCAAGTGCCTTAGGCATGATGCCACCAGAGCTCCTATAATACAGCATAGTGCATGGAATTCCTGGGTAGTACAAATGATTAACATGCTTGGCTACTGAGTGTAATGCTGGAGGTTTGAATTCATCTATAAGGACTTCAGATCTACTTCAGAAAAATCAGCCATTGAAAGCAGACACACGAAGTCTCCATGAGTCACAACTGACTCTGATAACTGGTATTATTGTATATAAGTAGCTCCAGGACGTGCCCGCAGGAATGCTTCTTTAGCAGCTCTGGTGTGAGGCACAATAATCTGCATTTTAATAAAAACCTCAGAAGCATGTAGTCCAAGAAAGACAGTGGGTCACGTGTATCTTTGTGCGAACCCTAGAGCCAGCAGCTCTCTGGTTCTCATTGTGAACCGGGGCTCCTTTGCCTCCTGGCTGACTCCTCATGCAAACCCTACCATCTTTTTACACATGTTTCTACAGTAAGAAATTCCAGTACTGTTTGGAAAACCAAGTTCATAAATCAGTACTCAGTGATTTAAAAGCATTTTCTAAAAGTTCCTTTCAAAAATAGGGTTGGATCTAGTGCTAATTTATAAATTAGAGGAACCATTGGATGAAATTGTATTTTAAAAACTAAAATTGATGAGAAAATTTTTTTAAAAATCTAGTTCTTACATTTCAGAAACACATTGCTGCAAGTCAGATGCCTGTACTTTAATGCTAAAGTTAAAAAAAATTAAAAAGTGATGTTTGATAAATTGGATTCATCCCCGACTGTCTCCAGATGTCTGAAGGTGACACAGAACAGGTGTTATACCACACCAAACTCTAGTGTTATCAATAATATTAACTTGTTATTTTGGAAGGCAAAGGGTACATAAATATATAAGCATGTATATATAAATGTATGTATGTGTGTATACATGTATAAATCATTATGTGTGATTTTTTTTTCCTTAGACTCAATTTTCAGTGAGGTATGAAAATTGAGAACAAGCTCATCCAAATTCTATAGAATGGTGGTAGATCATCTGAATATATTAGATAAGAAATAAGGAAACTGGATCTATGGCATTTGATCCATCACTCATCTCTTAGCCTATGAATGCAATTGAGGATTTGAGTTTGTAAAACAGTTGCTAGAACATACTAAAGAAACTTACAGGAGTTATAAAAGGTCACCTTGGTCTCTAAATGGCACAAATGGTTCACACTTGACTGCTAACCTAAAGGTTGGTAGTTCAAACCCACCTAGCTGTACCATGGGAGAAAAGCCTGCTTCCATAAAGAGTGCAGCCAAGAAAAGCCTATGGGGCAGTTCTACTCTGTAGCACATGGGGTTTCCATGACTTGGAATCCACTTG